TCTTATATTGCGATTCTTTGCTTCCCTATCACATAATGTCTCCTGACAAAATGGCGTCGGCATCATCTTCATCATCTACTAGGCGACAATCTTTAGAAGAAGGCGAACGCGAGAAAATGTCTCCCTCATCCGAGAAAGATGGTAATCCGAGGCCGAATGAACCAAATGGACCATCTACGACCCGTGAGGAACAGTGGTTAACTGGCTTCAAACTTTTTAGCGTCACGGCTGCCATCACCCTCGTCTGTCTTCTCATCATGCTTGATACGTCTATAGTAGCTACGGTAGGTACTACCCAATGTCTGTAGTTTACATGGAAGCTAAGGGATCCTAGGCTATTCCCCGGATCACGAGTGAATTCCACTCTCTTGCTGATATTGGTTGGTATGGAGGGGCGTATCAGCTTGGAAGGTGTGATCTCTTGTTCTCGTATCAAAGAATCCGCTGACGTAGATCTAGTGCAGCTCTCCAACTATTAACAGGCAAGATATACATGAATTTCAGCTCCAAGGTCAGTAGCCAGAGATCCCCTACATCTTATTTGATCGTGCTATTTATACCTAGTTTATATATAGTGGACGTTTGTGACTTTCTTCGGTATTTTCGAACTAGGATCCTTGCTCTGCGGCGTGGCAAATTCTTCGAAAATGCTTATTGTCGGACGGGCAATTGCTGGAGCGGGATCCTCGGGGATCATGAATGGGGCTTTCACTATCCTCGCTGGAGGTGTCCCTATGGCGAAGAGGCCAAGTAAGTGTCCTTGATGTACTTGGGATTGAGTACATGATAAACTAACGGATGGAATAGCTTTGATGGGATTTGTTTATGGTAGTATGTTTAAACCAAAAGCTCCCTTTCTTGAAATTGTATACTCATGAGAGGTACCTAATTCTAATTAGTATCGAACCTTGGCCTTGTAATGGGACCCTTGGTCGGAGGAGCACTTACACAATACACAACGTGGAGATGGTGTAAGTCATAAGATTCCTGCGCTTTCATGTATTAATTATCTGACCGAAGTCTAATACTAGGCTTTTACATTAACCTCCCGGTTGGCGGTCTCGTCGCTATCATGTTAGTCTTCGTCGACATTCCCGAACAAATGTCCAAGCCAAAAGCCTCGACGGTTGTCCGTACACTCCATTCGAAACTCGATCTCATAGGATTTGTTCTCTTTGCGCCCGCAGCTATCGAACTACTACTTGCTTTACAATACGGAGGGTTCCAGTTCGCATGGAATAGTTCTCAAATTATTGGGCTCTTCTGCGGTGCCGGTATTACCTTTGTCGTATTTCTAGCCTGGGAATATTATAAAGGAGACGAAGCAATGATTCCATTTTCAATGACCAGGAAGCGGACGGTGTGGACAAGTAGCCTGTCGTATGGACTTCTAATGTCCCAGCTTTTCTGCTTGTCCTATTACTTGCCTGTATATTTCCAGGGTGTCAAGGGAGCAACCCCGCTGTTAAGTGGTGTGTATCTTCTCCCAAGCATCCTGGGTCAGCTCTTCACATCTGTTCTGTCTGGTTGGCTAGGTAAGTGAAATAACTACTAGAACGCTTCTGTTACTAACAGATATGATAGTTGGGAGGGTCGGCTACTATCTCCCCTTTTCTCTTATTGGAGCAGTTATGGTGACAATTGCCAACGGAATCTTATCTACTCTGTCCCCTACGACATCGACAGGGGAGTGGATAGGCTATCAAATCATCCACGGAGTCGGTCGTGGCCTGGGGATGCAAATGGTAGGACCTATCTTTCCTGTCCTGTGAATATACATCTTTAATAGCTCGCTAACTCTTAATTGTTCTTCGTAGCCGATTCTCGCTGTCCAGAATACACTTCCGCCCGCTCAAATTTCCATCGCTATGGCGTTTCTCATGTTCTCCCAGAATTTTGGCGGAGCTCTATTTCTTAGCTTTGCCGAGACCATATTTTCCAATAGCTTAAAGACGCTCATACCCGAATATGCGCCTTCCGTCGACCCCGAAACCATTATTAATGCCGGCGCTACTGGTTTCCGGTCGATTATTAGCTCGGCTGAAATAGCTAATGTGTTAGTGGCATACTCGAAGAGCATTGATCGCGTCTTTTACATGACTGCTGGAATGGGTGTGCTTTGTTTCGTCTTTTCGTGGGGAACCGGCTGGAAGGACATCAGGAAGAAGAATGAAGTATCAAAAGCGTAGACTTATGGGTATGGTAGGGGCCCTGTCAGAGTGGAGGTGTATTGCCAGTATCATATTGCTTGAGGGTCTGCAGCTCTTGAAGGGCTACCATAGCCGAATGAAGTCCGGTGAAGAATGTTTGATAAAACGGCACCTAAAGTGCATATAGAATGGTCGATTTTGATAGATCAATTAGGGGGCAGACACTTTTGTACTATTCCTTTATAACTGACATAATCTACCTAGACTTATAATATAACCACCCATCTCTTTAAGTAACACAACGTAAAAAATTATTGGTTAGCTTATATGGTTGGAGTATTGATGTCTCTATCTACCTCCCAGGTAAGGTGCCTGGTATCTAAGAGGTACATAACTGCGTGGAGATGATATGCAACTCAACTATCAACAGCCAAGTAAGTGGATAAGAGATGGCCCATATTTAAATGGACAACGGAGTTTAGTGTATCTAGTTTCTCCATCAAGCCCTCTAGGATTATTCTATCGAAAAATAATTTGGCTGGATCGTATTATCGGCTGAGAGGATGCCCTTTCCGTCTGTTCCCATTCAATCGACTCTTGGTTATATGACAACTCTCGCGATCGAGACGTTAGCAAGCCAAGCCGACCCAAAGCCCACGACATAGCGTCGGCCCATTCTATGGCTAAAGCAGGGTGCTCGGTCCGTAGGAAATCTGCAATCTCTTGGCCAAGTGACGCTGCTACTGACTGCACCCACCAAAACCTGCAGTCCATTTCATTTAATAATATAGTCCAATGCAGGACAATGAGCAATGAGAACGGATCTCGCCTGCCGACGAGTGATGAGAATTTCCTCCCTGCAATTGCTGGAAATCCAGAACCGAATCCCTCCAAAAGTCCCCCTGCTTCCTCAGCGTAAGCCATCTCTAGGCCTTGGATTGCTAATTGGTATAGTTCGTAGTCGTGTACTACGGTGATAATTCCCGTCTCTTCGATGCTTTCCATCGGTTTCGGTGTACCTGCGTGTTGCTTATTGTTGAGCTCGAGCAACCTATCCAAGGCGGCTCTAATATCTGGATCTATTAAATCTTTCGATGCACCCAAGCGGCTTAGCATGGCGCGTAGGGGGAAGGGGCTGTTAAGAAGCCATGGCATCCCTAACATGCCGATACTGGTGGTACCATTGACTAGGTCGAAGGCTAATGATGTCAGGTCGAGTATATTGGTAGCACGTTGTGGCGTTGAGAGGTGGACGGCAACGGCTATGGCGGAGAACATGTATAGGACGTGACAGTTCTCGGCGTTCATACTCCCCAGTTGGGCTCGAAATGAGGTGCTGCCTCGATTATAGTATTCAAGTGCCGCGGTGACGTACTTCCTGGAGTTGGCTTCCCCGACAGTTCTCGCTATTTGCAAAGATGATATAGCAAATATGCAGTTCAGCATGTAGTCGTAGTTGAGGGCTGTCCGTGGTAATATTGATTGTAAGTATTCCACATCTTCCTGCATACCACAGAATGATTTGTATGTGTGCGTTGACCACTGATTCATTAATTCAAGCTCTAGAAGCCTAGTAGGCCCTCCGTATGTCGCACATATTGCCCCTAAGTCACCTCGTGGTCGTTCCACACTAGTAGGACATCTTGCTACCGTTCCGCATTTGGGACGCATAGATAAAGATGTTCCATCATTGAAAGCTTCAGTTTTAGATCGACTGTAGACGCAAGTAGCCTTTCGAAGTATGCAGTTATTGCAAGGCGGACCTTGCTCGTCACACTTTGTATGCCATTTTTTGCAGTTCTGGCAGCCGTTGCGGGATTTCTTATGAGATCTTCGCTTCTGCATGACAATTGATTTTTGATTTTATTATATTTTTTTGAGATAGCTAGTTGCTATCATGAGATGAGCATGGGCTCTTTCAATGTTCACGTCATCAGATTGATTGTGGTTCTTTATGGGGTCTTTATGTATAGGAGGTAGATAATTACCTAGGAATGAATTCCCCTGATTGCGGCTGTGCTTTTGTGTTACCAATGAAGTTTAGAAGATTCCAAGGCGCAATGCGCTGCGCCACTAGACCAATGAGGTCCTATGGATGCGAGCTGAAAAAGAAATGTGGCTCAGTTACTAGGGTCCGATATGAAATTGTCAAAATCTATTGGTTGTAAATAGTTCGTGCTGGGGTAAAGAAGCCAAGAAATAAACAATAAACACAACAAGAAGTCCTGCAGATCTTTTAAGAGAACCTAAGCAAACGAAACTTGCATTAACAAAAAGTGAGATTTGATTTAGCTGATGATAATGATACTGCTAACCCTCCATGCATTTTCTAATTGGCTCTTGTCCGCGTGATATATATGCGCTGATATGCCTAAGAAGTCATCAATGCCACTGCCGAGCTAATCTGGGCTTTGCTCCCACGTCACAATTTATGTAACTTGTCGTAAGTAGAACTCTCCAAACAGCTTCTCAATGATCATAGTCTAAAAGGCTTTGGGTAAATGACGGCGGCACGTATACAGCATTTCTCGACCCTTGTCAATATTCAAAATACTTCAATATTATCAAAATAGAAGGCCGAATTGTTAAAGTTCTCAAGATGACCCTTTTCGGAGAGCATTAAGTAATTTCAACTTGTTTATGGTAATGATATGGTGGCGGTGTTGATTGGCAGGATGCGTTTTTGAGCTCTTGGACCACATCACTGGTTTAAAAGAAGGTAGGCAGGATTGTTGTAGCGACGGGGTTTTCTCTGCCTCATTTTTTATCCTTTTCTATCCTTTTTCATCAAAAAATCTAGAATCACTCAAACTCAATTACTATAAAATTTAATACCTTTCAACAATGACAATGGGGTTAAGCTCTGAAGACCCGTTCTCTTACATGGCTTCGACTGAACGACTTTGTGAAGATAGCCTGGAACCGACAACCCTGGTGCTTAAGGACCAATACATAGCATCTGAGGCTGAACCTACGAATTGGCTTTATCAGATAGGCCGGGATGTGACCGCCATCCCGCAGAAGGCTACATCAATAACCTTCGAAAAGATAGAAAACAACGATTCGTTGGAAGTTGAATCATCAACCCCTATTAAGAGTCATAATAAACATATATTTTACCTTGCGCATCCATTAGGTGCTCAATACCGGACCGATACTCCTCCCTATTACCTCACATCCGTGTCGCGCAACACGTTGGGCAACATTAGTTTGGAAACGTCCAAGTCACGGCTCGGGAAGACTACATTCAAGGTCCTAGTGAGCTCGGGAAGAAGTTGGACAGACAATCCGTTATTCCATGAGAATGCTGAACTTCTGTTTAATGTCAAGCAGAAATGGGCAAACGGTCATTACATATGGACCGACTCCAATAATAAACAGGTGGCATACGAGGATGATAAAGGTGATCAACATAGGCTTGTCATCACCGCGTCAATGGAAACGGATACCAGAGACGCTCTGGTCGCCACATGGTGCTTGAAGCTATGGCATGATACATCTGAAAGCAGTCAGGCCAAGAGAGAAAGTGAGTAACCACCATCCCATGCTATATATAAACTGGGTAATAATGTAAAATGATGTATTATAGATATGGAAAGTATGACGCCGCCTGAGGAAATGCTGTCATATAGGGGTATACGATCGATGAATAGCATTGCAGGGTTCGGTGGTCATGCTGGATTACGATAGGGTGATCAGGGGATTACTTTTAGATACAGGAAGTCTAGAATTCGTCTTGGAGCATGAATAACTTCGATTCAGCGGCGAAGTCTTATTCTTATTATTCCAGATGCTTATTGGGGGTTTCCTATAGTAGGATTATTCTCACTCATCATCAATTAAGCAATAGTCAGAGAACGAACTCCCAAAGTTACTATCATTAGGCTCTAGTTTTTATTCGGAATATACTCATTAGGATGCTATTTAAGCTGGAGCTCACTGCGGTACTCGAAGTTAACTTACTACAACATTTTCTTGTCCCAACTATGACGTATGATTTCCATATGGTGGTTATTTATCTGACTTTCCTACGAAGTCCTAATCCGGTTGCTTCCGAAGCGTTATGGAGAATCGTGGGGAAGCTTTCCTAAATAGGACGATAGTCAATCGGAACTGCTGACACCCCTGCCATTTTTCAGGAATACTACCACATATGGCATATTTTAAATCGGATCCCGAGAGCCTCTCGATATCTTAACTCCTTAGCAAGGGGTTTGCCCAATTTTCTGGGAGAGCTATAACAATGGTACGGGAATTTAGCTCTCGCTATTCTGAGCTTGGATAGTACATAGTCGAAACCGCCTTACACAGCTTTTGATACAGGCAACAGTTATAGCTAGTGGGCATCTCGTCAGTTTAACGATTCAAGTTGACCTCTTATACAATCCAGTCTCATAATGCGATCGCAGATACCTCTCGCTTATAAAGTACGCGCTACTTGCGACAGTTGCTATAAGGCCAAGATAAAGTGTTCCAGAGGAAATCCATGTATATCTTGCGTAAGGTCGGGGGACCAATGTCATTATAGTATCTCAAACCGACTTGGTCGCCCTCCAAAGGGTGCAGCTAGGAACAAAATAGTCGATTCGACCACCAGGACAAAGAGATTAACCCAAAATAGTTGCCCTCCTACGGCAATAGCTCAACGATCTCCGAAGAATGCCCAATCACAACAAGACGATCCAATGAACCTTGAAGACATGCTCATGAATGCATTTTCTGATTCATCATATGCGTTGTCTAGCTCAGAGACAATTCCTAGCCAAGACTCAGCTAGTCTTGGGGAAAGTGAAACGGCAACTAGTCTCTCTTTCGCAAAGGTAAGTTGCCCATTTTCGAGATTATCGATTACTTATGTAAGTCTGACTTCAATTTATCACATGTAGGATAACCAAGAAGAGTCATGGATGGCTATGGATCAATTACAACAGTCTCCTGTTATAAAAGCACAGCAGCTTAATACTGCTCAAAACGACCCTCAAATCATATACAATAACGACGTCCTATTACCTAACTTTCGGGAATTTGGACATCGAAGTGAGCTGACTCGGTGCAGCTGCCTCCAGCAACATACCCAGTTCTTATGTCATGTAAAGGAACTAGACCGAACTCACGACCCTCATTTTATCGTCATCACGCTGGATGTAGCTAACCAATGCTTGCGTCTGTGGAAATCTCATATGAGTTGTCAGTTATGTTGGGACGATGAAGACCATAGCGCATTACAATTGTTGCTTATTAGTATTGGCACAGTGGTAAAACGTGTGTGGAAATTCCTCACGTATCAGAAACAGGATCACGAGCCTATTGAAAGCTTGCCCAAGAACAGCAAGGTGGCATTTTCTGAAGTCGGAGTCCCTAAGGTGGCATCGGACGGCACTAAGAAGGCATCCCCCAAAGACCCTAATGAAGTGAACTGCAGCGCGCAGTTGCAACATGATTCGAAGGGTCCCCTAATAACAGCCCCTCCAATGAAGATTACAGTAAATGAGTTTCAGGTCCCTGAAGAAGAGCAGATGTTTATTATAGGAATGCTAATTATCCGGATGTTAACGAGAATTAAGGAGGGGTTGGGGGACATTCGCGATAGAATCAAGACGGAGAGATTGGACGAAAAGAGTGGTGATATTAATAGCTGGTGTCCTCTACATAGACTGGCCCCCTTAATATTGGATAACTTGGATGAGTCGGTGTTGGGACTTGAGCAATCATTGCGGAATTTCATCATGCCATAGGAAATCTTAGGTTGAAACATGATCAAATTCAAATGGGTCGTTAAAAGTCATAGACATGGTTATTATCGCTATTTAATACTGTATACTGATATTGATGTATATAGAGGGGCAATGCCTAGAAAGCGGTCTATTCTATTAAAGACACATGATCGAATTCTAACTCTAGCGATACCTTCAGTCTTTAAAAACAATACCATACATCTATCTAAAAGGGTAAACCGACGTAGCTCAAATTCCCGGTTTAAAATGGACTGTATATGTACCGAAGTAGATCTTATGTAGGCTAAGTAAAAAAAAAATATAACCATAGGTAACCCTGCTGTGGAAATCAGAATGGATTCGTCTCATAAGCCTTATCAGCTTCTACTACAGCATCATAGCTATACAGCCACGGCTGTACTGTGGGGCAGGTCCTAAATGTGAATTTCGCGTTAGTTTTATAAATTTTATTATACAACTAAAGTCATTTTTCAATCTTACCAGCGGCTAGGGAAATGTGGCGGTGGCTCCTTGTCCAAACTTGCGAGGAAGATAGCATCTCGTTGCTCCTGAGAGGGACCATCAGGCAAATGGAATGAATCCCTCTTTAGTCATATTCAAATTAGCATATCGTATATAAATCTTCCCGTTTCCTAGTATTTTCTAACTAACCTGACCTAATGCTTCCTTTGCTATTGCCTCACCCCGAATCTTTCGTAGCTGTTGATATAGCCCAAGCGCAGGGGCTAGCTTATCGCGATTAGTTACGTATTTAAGAAGACGACCGAGGACAGCGCCGTCTTCTAAGGAGGAGTTGGCTCCTTGCGCAAGATACGGGAGCATTGGATGACATGCATCACCCCTGAGTTTAGGAAAGTTAGTTGTGTCTATTAGGGAGTCACGAGGGAGTGGAGGGTCACAACTCACGCCAATAAGAAAGATGCCTCATTATTCACCCAGGTATCCAGAGGGGAGACTAAGTGATGCCGTTCATATTAGACTTATATCCCATAGACGTATATCAAGGGTATATAATTACTATGCATTAGTCGCCATTTATCCACCTTGTTCACGCATGCTAGCAACTTGTTCAGGCTATTGTAGGCCTTGGTGAGTAAAAGAGATACCAAAGCCAAAGTTCAAAGGTAACTCACATTGGATCCCACGGCTCGAACAGCTTCCGCATCTCATCCACATCAGCAGCAGAGCGGCTCACATGTTCTGGAAGATCATCAGGCCGGAGTAAAACAAGGTTATACATCCGGCCTTGTCGGAGTGAATAGCCTACGACGTGAGACTCCGGACCAATCCAGAAATTGACAGATGGGTTGGACACTAAGTCCCGTAATTCCGGATCCTTTATGTCCTCTAAATTTAATATAATTCGATATGCAAGATCCCCAGTTGGCGTCGGTGTTAGCTGTTGTTGTAACAAGAAACTTCTCGTGCGCGACCATAAGCCATCTGCACCAAGGATTAGATCGCCTTGTACCTTCTGGCCATCCAGTGAAACTACAGCGGCATGTTGAAAGTCGACATGTTGAACGTCAAAACCCAGCCGAATATCGACACCGAGTGAGCGAGCGCGACGCACTAACGTTTCCTGCAAGTCCGCACGGTGGAGGTCCCAGAATGGAGCTCCGTATCGCTCGAGTATCTTCTCTTGATAACGATCTTCACGAGCTAGGATACGCGTACCATCATATCGTCGAACTGCTAGATACGACGGAACAGCAGCCTTAGAGCTTAGTTCATCGAAAACTCCCCAATGATGGAACAAACGGCTTGCATTAGGGGTAACCTGCAGCCCCGCACCAACTTCTTCTAGCCTGGTAGTTTTCTCTAGTACTGTAACTCGGTGACCTTCAAGACGCGTGCTGATGGCAGCAGCAAGGCCAGCTAGTCCTGCTCCGACGACAATTAGATGGAGTTGGAAGCTGCCAGGCTTCTTACTTTGGGTTTCGCTGCCGGACATTGTGTGAGAGGTTATGAAATACCAATGAGATAAATATACTATCTCCTCATAGTCAATTCATATACTATAAAAGCAGCTTACTCAAAGCATGTTTCGGAAATATCTATCTAAAATATTATCCCTCATATGTGAGGGGTCCGGGAATGCCGCATGACGAGGACATGTCTTCTCTTGCGGTTAACATCTCGGTAAGTTCTGATAATTAGGGAAACATTACAAGTGGGCGGGAATCCTACTAGGGCATAACTAGATTCTTGCTTAGTTCGGTATATTTTATTTAAGAGGTATCGTATGAACAATAGAAGCTGTTAAATCTCTATCACACATCGCTGTACTTGAACACTGTCTAAGACTATGAAGTGTTATAAATAAGTTAAAAAGGATGCTATATAGTATACAATATTCCAGGTCTGTTTCCCTTAATGAAGGTATTATAATATAAATCTTTTGCAAGCTTTCAAGTAATCAATTGTATAACTCCTTATCTACGCTATCATCATTACAATTTGGGTGCTTAAGGTGAGAATTGGGGTAGCCCGATATACCGATATACGCATATCACTTCATAATTTAGGTAACCGATATACCACTTAGATATACAAGTCAAAATCATATTCACGCGTTAAAAGGACGACTTGAAATTAATCTCTTATTCTAAGTTTACGATTATTGCCTGGGACAGTATAACTTCTGGTATGGTAAAGCCATTACAAATCATTATTAAAATATAAACAGGTACTGAAAATATTCAATTAATATCTAGTACTAAAACCCATTGTTTTGAAGTTAAAGAGTAAAGCTGTAATTAGAAAATTACAAATGAGCGTAAGAATATAATTGAAGTACATTGATTTTAACTAGTAAGAATCTTAGAGCAACATAATATATGAATTAGGTACTTAGGAAAATAGGTACCATTGATGTTACCCCCAATACGCCCATCAGGGGTCAAGGGATTGAGTGAGCCGGGTACTCACATGAGATGCTCTAGCTGCGCATCTAAAATGGATGGAAGCCCACGTGGCGAAGAAAGAGACATCCAATTACTACCTTTGCTAAAAAGTATCCGATAAGCTACTGTTTACCAGGTTCCAATTGGTATCTCAATGAAGATCAGGGCCCAAACTGACAGACACCCAAAGGGTTACATACCAATCTATTGGTATTAAAAACTCCGATTGGCTTAGTCATTTTTCTAATTACACTCACTGAGTCAACATAGAGCCTTAATCTAGGTAGTAGTTATGAGATTTAAGAGATAACAGCTAGGAATCAACATATTTGTTAGTAGGCTTATATGAGACCTCAAGCTTGTAGGTCTACGAAATGAATTTTTAGATACGCTTTGCGAGCACAAATATACCACATCAGAGTGTGAATATCGATTAAAGTGATAATTCTATCTTATGAGAAACTCTAAAAGTATTACCTTGAAAATTCAATGATAAAATATACCTAGCCTTCACATACAAGCGTAAAGGGGGTAAAAGTCCTGTTAGGTAAAAGGTGGAGCTATCCCCTATCAAATCTATGTTTCTCACGAGTATAAATGAAACCTACCTGCGTATTGCCATAATTTTATTTGTTAATCTTTTTCTTTATAAATCGGCGTGTTCTCAACTTAATCTGTTAATCACTAGGTCATAGTAACATCCGAATGGAAATACACTGAAATAACGCTTGGCAAAACAATACTATATTACATCCCAATTTATTATAGGTTATCGCGAAATACTGCATCGAAGAACTTCTTGAACCCAAATAACGACTTTCCCATGTCTTCTATTCCATAAAGTTAAAAGACTACCTGTAAGGTGAACGAAAGGCTTTTCGGACCGTATATATTAAAACAGCCTATAGAATAATGATATAATAAATTGGAAGGCGGCATCGATTAGTAGCATTCATTCAGATTCACTAATAACGATAGAATATTTGTAGTATAGTTTCCAAGGTGAGGTCACCTGTTAGATAACGACGGGTGGCCCATCTAAAACGTAATCCCTAGTAGATAGCTCATAAAATATCTATTATTGAGCAAATATAAACAAATAGCCAAAGATGAAATTTTAATTTCATCTTGTATATAACTACTCATATTTTCTAGGTTCTATGTTGATACTATGAGCTAACAATGAAAAAGGCCGCGATATATAACAACGGCTGATTGTTGAGCCTATATATCTATTCTTACTACGACAATGGTTCAAGGATGAGCTTTTTAGTATTATGGGGAGGGAATAGAAGAAGGCGAGAGAATACCATAAGTCTAGGAGGGCATGCTGGTTGAGCTACGATGACACAACCCGATATTACGCCAGTCTCATGACATTTCCAGAATATGGGACCATGGAAGATGGGGAGCCGGATTCTAAACTATGATTGCATCATGACCTGATCCGCTCACAACATTCCGTCCTTCTAAACCCGGTTGAATACAATTACGGTCACCGTTCTCGCTATCGGGTGAACTAAGATATTCGCCAGAAAGAAAAAGCCACCTTGAAGCAGCAGCTTCTTGCATAGTTCTTTCCTCTTGACTCTAATAGGAAGGTCATTCCCTACTCCGACACTATACGGAGCCTCGCTATCGACGGCAAAACATGGTAAGCAAGGCATTATAAGCGAGGCCAGAATCAAGTCTACTCGAGCGTCTAAGGATAGTTGTCGCCGCTTTAAGCATGGAAGTACTGGATCCAGATTAACTTGGAAACAAGATATTCGGAAAGCTGAGGATGATTTCCGAACACTATTCATACCGCCATATCATAAAAAAATGTGTCAAGACAGGCTATTCCTAGATGCCTGCTTATTCGTTCCAAGGTCTTGTCTGTCACAGGATTGGACTAAAACCGACGTTGTGTTCAATTGGCTCATCGATATCATGGTATTCCCTATAGGGCATGCACCCCATGCATATGTAAGGTGAATATTTAGTTGGTTTGTCGTTTATGCTGTTGGTCATGGAAATGCTTGTATCCTGCAGTTTCGTAGGAATGCATGAGATATCTACATCCCTCCCCCTCAGCCCATATATACCCCCTGGTTCTGGCAACCTGGTTTAGCTCATGCATGCACATGCAATGAACCCGGGCATGCAGTTGAGCTGAGTTACAAGGTATTAGGTACTGACCCACTGGCTAGGGTCCCTGGCTAAGTCCAAGAGATTCGACATGCTCGTGTAACATGTCGTATTTACTAAATACTGACCGTTATACTAATTGCTACTTGGAAATAGTATAAGCCATATGAATACCTTACATAATTAAAAGTTAAAGAAATAAGAATAATACAGTAATTGTTACGAAATGAATTTTAACCATTTACATTTATTTAGAATAGTATCATCGATTAATAAAATAACATATTAATAAATTGACATCTTTTTATAAAACTTTTATGTAGGTAATCATCTGTGCAAATGATAATACCCGTCCGGCCGGACACGAGCGAAGGATTAACAACATCAAGGAGGTAGTATAATGGCTAACTTGGGTAGAAGCCGGCTAATACAACGGTATGGTTTGCCAGTTGTCGACGGCACAGCTTTGGCGCTAGTCTACTAGGCCTCTTCTATCGTATGGTAAAGTGTTAGAGGGCTGCTTCTTGGTGTAGGTTAGCATATAGGCGGTAAGGCGGAAGCTTCCTTCTTCCTCAATCAAAGACTAAGACCGCAGGGATTATGCTCCTTTGCATGTTGAGGCCGATAGGAGGCCGATTTATATGCAACTACATCGAGAACTCGGACAATTCTAAGAGTTAGAGGTGTATATAAAGGTATCAATCAACCGTATTAAGGAGCTTCTACCACACTATCCAACAAGTGACATCTGTCTAGCTGTATCAATCATAGCCACCCCTCTTTTATCATCTTCAAATTTTATCAATTCATCATGGGCTCGCTGGGGAAGAGTGTGACTCAATATCCGAAGCCACTTAAGCTTTCAGGAGTCCTTGAGAAATTCTCATATGATGATAGCACGCCAGCTATCGGTCGAGAGTTCAACAATGTGAACATTGTAGATGATATTATCAACGCCCAGAATGCTGATGAGTTAATCCGCGACCTGGGAATTACTAGTAAGTTTACTAGAAATGGATTTATCAAGATTGTAACCGGGCTAACTCGGTGCTTCCCCAGTTGCTCAACGCGGTGTTGTTTTCTTCCGCGCACAAAACAACTTGACAGATGATCAGCAGAAATTTTTGATCCAGAGGCTGGGTGAGCTTACTGGCAAGCCTGCTGAGTCGAGCCTGCATGTCCACCCTATTCTGAACGAAACATCCGAGTTCGGTGTAGGAGACAGGCACATTAGCACAATCAACTCAGTCCACCGCAAGAAGGTATACAGCGGAGACAAGGATGCCAACAAGCATAGTCAGCAATGGCACTCGGATATCCAATTCGAGAATGTGCCTCCAGACTTCTCATCCCTACGACTGACGCTACTGCCTAAGAATGGTGGTGACACCCTCTGGGTCAGCGGCTACCACATTTACGACCGTCTATCAACTCCGTACCAGAAATTTCTCGAAGGCCTGACGGCGACCTACATCGCCAATGGTCTCTTATTTCACAACGACAGAATCTTCGAGGGACCGCGTGGCAACCCGAAGAACGTCGGCAAGACTTTCGCAGCCGTTCACCCCGTCGTACGCACCAACCCAGTTACGGGATGGAAGAGCATCTACGCGGCGGCGGCGTTTCCCAAGTACATCAACGAGCTGAATGAGAATGAGTCGCAGGCGACCATCAAGCTGCTAACCCAGACGCTCATAGAAAACCATGACTTCCAGGTGCGCTTTAAGTGGAAGAACGAAAACGACTTTGGTAAGTGCCCATTAACACCAGTAGGTATTGCAACTTGAATGAACCCAGCTAACCGTCATAGCTATCTGGGATAACCGTAGCACGTTCCACACTGCGACCCATGACTATGACAGGCTAGGCGAGCGAGACGGCCACCGCGCCGTAGGTATTGCAGAGGTACCGTACCTTGACCCTAACAGCAAGTCAAGGCAGAGGGATTTGTACGGAGAGGAGTAGGAAACTACATATCTTAAGTCAAATAGTCCTTAGTTTTATAAGTGAAGGGTATATGGCTATACTGGTCGATATTAGATTAAGTTAGGTACCTAGGACCTAGGTACCTAAATAGATACCATATAGCCATTAGGAAGTGGATACGGCAATAAAAAAATGGAAATATAGTTCTACGCTCCCTATCATTGAAATATTTAGTCATGTATGCCGTAAGCCCTAGGTTAGCGGAGTCTTTGTTAAAAAAGCATTCAATGGTAGTAAATACGACGAATATGTGTAAGAAGGTAAAAGTTGCTACTTACGATAGAGGTAGTTATGTAGCATAGCCACATAATATTTAAACTCCTTTCCTCATTAGGTTATTTCGGATAATCGATCTCCGTTTCCTATTGGCCTGCTTGAAAACTTTAGATTGTATGACTTTGTCTTTAAGTAGTCCGGTACGGGCCGGACCTTAGGTACTATTGGCAACTGCTCGTGAGAAGCCGTTTGACAAAGTATCTTGTATTCGTACATTGTATCCACATTTCATTCAATTGAAATTCTAGGAAAACCTTTATCACCCCCTTCTCCCCCCCCCCCCGGTAAGCTTTGACCAAGCACCCGATAGTTGCTAGCCAAGGATTAAACAACTGGCGACAATCTTGACAAAAGTTCCCTATGGTAAAAACTTTTGAAAGGGACATCCGTAAAGTCTAACGACTTTGCAAACGTAGGTAATACTAAGAATTTCTATTGCCAAGCAAAGTATAATAAAGATGTATTGTTTTTTATGCCGTTTCCGACTATGAGCTAAGTATTTCAAACAGTAAGTCTCCCTTTTCGACAGAGCCGCCGGCCTCTACGTCCAAGTTACGCAAGAAACCGTCAGACGGAGCGCTGACGTTAATAATCATTTTCATTGCGCTGATAGACAATATCACATCACCCTGTGAGACTTGACTTCCCTCTTCTTTGAGAACCTTCGACACGATCCCAGAAAACGGAGAGCCCATTTGGGACGATATACTAGGATTAGCTTGCCGACGCTTTGATCCAATTTGGACTATGTTATTGTTAGGAACATGTTAAAGATAGGTAACTAGGTGGGTCGCGGATGTATGACGTTATATTGGAAAGTAAGCAAGAGATAAAATATAAGGACTTACCCGATAAGTCTCGGACTGTGGCCTGTCGATGTTTACCATCGACCCGAAAGAAAACAGTACGATCTGGAGAAACTTCTTCGCCTTCAGCTAGTGGCTGTACCGCTACTACATTAACGCGTACAAGTCGACCACCAGGTGTGGGGCATTCTAACTCCTCGCCAATCTTAGGCGGGGCAAGTACTTGTTGCGAAGGAAGCGAGCTTATGTCGCCATATCGCGCCAAGTATGTGCGGTACTCAGTAAAGACATCAGGAAACATGACATAGCTGCACACGTCAGTCTCGGTGATCGAGTCGCCATATTTTGCTGTCAGCTTCTGCTTAACGTTCTCCAAGTCAACTGGCGGAAGGCGAGCAGATGCTTGGCCTTCAATTTTCTTCCTTCCAGCACGAGCCAAGACCTGAGTACGGAAAGGTTCTGGAAAGCCATCGAAAGGCTGGCCCATCAAGCCCTCGAAGTAATCGAGGACTGAGTCTGGGAAGTCTAGTGAACCCGCACGGGTGAGAACATCTTCCTGGCTGAGATTGGAATTGACCATAAACTGTGCTAGATCGGCAACAGCTTTAGAAGTAGGCGTGGCCTTGATGATATCTCCAAGCAGGAGATTCGCAGCGATGAACGCTGCTTTAGTCTCCTTCCATTGGTTGCTCAGTCCAAGCTCGCGGGCTTGGAACATGAGATTAGTCAGCTGACCACCTATTCGCAATATTAGTTACCGTGATTTAATCACTTATCCATTTGTATTGTCATACCTGGGATTTCGTGGAGATACACATCCGGGTCTGGCCCAGAGATCTTGGCATCAAATCCAGCATATAGGAGACGCAATTGAGCCCAGTAGCTGTCAACAGCACGGACATGGTCCAGGTCTAGTTCTCCTTCGTCCTTTCTGCCCATAAGGCTAGCAATAAGAGCACTCATGGCAGGCTGAGCCGTTGTGCCGGACATACTATCCGTTGCACCGTCGATTATATCAGCTCCAGCCTCAACGCATGCAAGCATAGTAGCCACACCGGTTCCTGTTTGATAACTGTTAACATATCTCCGTCCAATTTCTGTAATAATAAGAGTGTACACATACCTGCTGCATCGTGGGTATGAACATGGATTGGGAGGAAGGGGTGGCGGGATCGAATTGCACCAACCAATAGCCTAGCCGCTTCGGGTTTCATCACACCAGACATGGATTTGATTGCAATTATATGCGCCCCCGTTGCCACTAAGGAATCTATAAGGTCGATATAGTAGTTGAGCGAATACTTGCAATCTGGATCTAACATATCTCCAGTATATAGAATCGCAGCTTCAACTACTGCGCCAGCGCGTAAACACGCGTCAATAGCGACCGTAAGATTGGCTACATCATTTAGGCCGTCAAAGACCCGGATTATATCAATTCCATTTTCCACTGCTTGGGAAGCAAAATACTCTAGGAAATTGTGCGGTACCCTAATACATTCACATAAGTGACTGGTTTTATTACAAGAGGTACGTTTGAGTTACTTACGCTGAGTATGCAAGGCCGCTAACGCTTCGCAATAACATTTGAAATGGCACATCTGGAACAAGTTTACGGAGAGTTGCCTATTGGTTTTTATTAGTTTCCCTTAAATTGTCTAAATCGGTTAAGAGAAGAGAAGAGGGGACAGGGGTTTGGCTTCTCACTAGTCGTTTCCACGGATCCTCATGCAAGAATCTCAAAGCAACATCAAATGTTGCTCCACCCCAGCATTCGAGACTGTACGCTTGCCGATACGCGACATTCGTAGCCGGTGCGATATTCGCAAAGTCAACAGTACGAATACGTGTTGCTAAGAGAGACTGTTGCGCATCTCGCCATGTCGTATCCGAGAGAAGAATACGCGGATGTCTCCGAACTTGTTGAGCAAAGGCTTTTGGGCCTTCTGCTAGAAGAACACTACGCCAACCGTCCGAATGGCGTACGTTATTATGAAGAAGCTTTCGCGAGTTGCTTTCCTTCAATATAGGTAATTCGATTTCTCTTAAAGACTCTGGTTTACCCTGCATAAGTTAAGGATGATTAGTATATCTAGGTTAACCAATACATGTCGCTGGCTGATTATTTGTAACTTACAATTTGACCCTGAATTTGCGTCCCGTTAATTAGACTCTCAGCGAAAAATGAGATGAGCTTTTGATCACTTGGGTCTTCATTCTGTTCCGAAGGCTTAGTCAAAATGACGTCGCTGTCTAGAGATCGTGTAAAGAATTCCTGCTTAACAAATCGTGGATCTTCCAGGATGCGTCGTAGTAGGTCTATATTTGTTTCTACGCCGGCGATCTGGGTAGCGTTCAATGCACCGAGCATCTTAGCACTTGCATGCTGCAAGTCATTTGCTTGGACAATGCATTTGAATAGCAAGGGGTCATAGTGGGGTGTAACTTCAGCACCCGCAAATAAATTGTACCCGTCGATCCTCACACCCGGTCCACCAGGAAGCTGGGCATGAGTGATCGTCCCGCAACTTGGGACGAAACCTGGAAAATTGGTTAGTTAATGGAATCCGAAATCTTCTTTTATAAAATAGAGCGTACCTAATGAAGGTTGCTCTGATGTGATACGGCATTGAATCGCAACGCTACGGGTTTCAGGAGCCAAGTCAATACCCAATACAGGATCTGTAAGAGATGCGCCCCGTGCGATGCGTATTTGTGCTTGGACTAGGTCAACGTTGAGAATCTGTTCGGTCACTGTATGCTCCACCTGACTTCACGATGCAATATGATTAGCACACTAATGGTCTACTATTAATCTATGCCTACGCTGATAGGTATCACTTACATTCGCGGATTGACTTCGATGAAGTAGAAGTCGTCGCCCTGCACTAGGAACTCGACAGTCGCGGCATTTTCTGTTCAACCGAATTAGTTTTATGATGGTAATATAAGGGTATCAGTATAGGTACGTAGAAGAGCGGATAGGAATATTCGAGATCAAGAAATGAATTGACCAATTACACACCATATTTAACGTATTTCGATAATCTCACGGCCGCATCATGCATTTTTTGTCGCGTTTCCTTAGAAACGGAAACAGCCGGGGCAAACTCAACGATCTTCTGGTGCATTCGCTGGATTGTACAATCCCGCTCGAGCAGATGAGCAACATTGCCATGTTTGTCGGCCAAAATTTGGACTTCGATGTGTTTTGGGCTAGGTAGGAATTTTTCGACAAATACTGCGTCGACGCCAAATGAATCTTTAGCTTCCGAGCGTGCTTCGGAGAGGATGTTGGCTATGTCTTCCGAAGGGTCTCCGTAAAGTATTCGTTGTCCGCGACCACCACCTATTTGGAGTTACGATTAGCTAGGAATTACAAATAGCAACAAATAGCGTAAAATAACATACCGCCATGTGATGCTTTAATTATCACGGGGAATCCATGTCTGAAAACAACCGGGATTAGCTTATGTCTTTGTTTGCCTTAAATGATTAATTATTCACTTACTTCGAAACGAAGTCTTCTATCTCCGAGAGCTCTGAAACAGCGTGGTTTAAGCCCGGAATTGTGGGGACGTCGCACTCCGTTGCTAGCCTACGAGCCGATATCTTATTTCCGAATCCGTCTAGAACGTCGGCAGGAGGCCCGACAACTACATTTCAAAATGTTAGCTATTCCGGTCTCTTCTAAAAGCAATTATCAACACGATTTGCGATTGGAACTTACATGTTAGGCCAGCTTCCTCAATCGCGCGCGCAAAATTTGAGTCTTCAGCTAAGAATCCGTAACCTGGATGTCTAAGAATAAGGCAAGTTAACAATCATCGCCCATTACTTGTTGCTAGCGTGAAAGGTTTATATTACATCAAGGTAGCTCCGTGTTTTTTCGCAATTTGTAGAATTCGTTCGATATCTAAGTATGCGCCCCTAAAATTACATGATTACCAGTTAGATTCGAGTCGGAGAGTTTATAGATAGACAAGTGTATTCACCGTGGTCCAAGTTCACCTGCTTCGCCTAGGAGATAGGCCTCGTCCGCAGCTACACCCCAATATGTTAGCGTTGCTTTATAAACAGCTAGAGATCATGCTCCCGAACGTGTATGATTCGTAATTACCTCGATAGTGATCCGAATAACGATCCTCGTGAGCATAGATAGCAATTGATGGAAGCGAGAGCTCTCGCGCAGCTCTCGCAATGCGCACAGCTATCTCGCCGCGGTTTGCTATAAGAATCTTGTCGCTGTTACAGCTATGAGTTAGCAAACTAGATGTTCAAACCAGAGAACTTCTATTTGTAACATATCAAGACACGTACTGGGGTAGAAAGGTCATGTTTGGAGATGCGGCGCGAGTCTAAGACCTAGTAGCGACCCAGTAGCGAGCTTTACTTGTTGATACTACGAGATTCAGAAATTTTTGTGAATAATTCTCCAGGTTCATTGAATACTACGAGGGACCCTATCGAGATCCTATATTGAACGTTGTTGACCTTTACCGACAACGGAGGATATGCGCCTCTCCTCTAACCTATTTCTCTCTCCAGACGCATACACGAATAGCATCACTTTCGTCCAAGAAAGCATCACAGGGCCTAGACTCCTACTGCAACATGTACGTGCATCAAGTGCATCAAGTGCATCAGGTTCCACGCTAGTAATGCTAGATAGCCAAGGCAGACGATTACAGGGTCAAAGAAGGAAGCTTCAAAGAGGATAGGATATTGTACGACATGTAGTAGTTGCATTACATTGGTGATTACCAAATTCTAAGGGTATTCAGATCGTAAGTAAGGAGCGGTGTGTTATCAGAGCCCCTGATCTTGTTACAGAGGGTCTTTGTTTGACAGGGGAGCTCCTCGTGCGAACTCCAGTTTGCGACTCAGCTTAACCTAGTTATGGATACTACTTCGTCTGAACTATACTATGCAGACTTCGATAACAGGTAGTTTTACGATAGCGATCGTTAGCTCTAACATAATGCATGGGGAGGAGAGGGGTGTCTTTATTCAGTATACCCTTCCGTAACTAGGATCTTATAGGATCTGGGATGCTAGCTTCTCGCTTACTTTAACAGACAGGGGGTTTGAAATCTCGCTGCTCTAGTGCTTGTCGGATGTATGTATAACCTGGGGTCCTAGTTTAATGTCTGCATCGTTTTACACGTGGACATGTCTAGCCGAGGCTATCAATATCATTTATCAGAAGACATGTAAGAAATTTTCATTATGTTGTGATCTATGTAAGATCGTATAAGTCCTTCGTTACTTGGACGCTAATGTATGGTTATGTCGTAAATATACCCCCTGAATTGGCATAAAAAATCATCCCACTAATAACCTATATAGCAGGTACAGCTTCAAGGGGATGATATATAATCAGTGGCGTTTTCTATATAAAAGGGTGTGGAGGGCGTTAGTAATTATCATCCCTTGGCGAGGTTATCTTCATTAATCAATCCCGATGCAGTATAAAATCTGAGAATAATGGATGTAACAGCCTTATGAAGAAAAAGATATAACCCTTAAAGTTTAAAATGAAGGGATAACTTTACTTCGATGTCTTCATAAGTGGGGCTCGTAACGTGCTGGCGTCAAAGATCAGAACGAGCGTTATTCGGGCCGTCGTCCCTAAAAGTCTTAAAAACATTAAACTTACCTTAGGTACTTTCGTTTAGTTGCGCTCAGTAAGCAAACGCTCAAAACTCCCGTATTTTATGTGTATGTGGCAATTGGCTTGGCGTACATTAAAATAAGCCTCCCTAAGAGATGGTTAAAAGCTTAGCAGCTTTTATTAACTGAACAGGCCTTACAGGATGCGCACCCTCTTGAGCCGGCACGGGCCGATCTTACATTGACCCGCTCTTTCTCTTGCCTCTTCCACCTATCCGCGGATTTCGAAAGTTAATGCCGGCCTCTTAACCATTTTGCTAACTTAAATCGGCTGGATCCTTTATCGGTTCTCCACGCCGCAAATGATTAGTCGAAATTCCGAGTAACGGTGCGGGGAATCCCTAACGTGGTCAGCTGAAGAAGCCTTACTTTTAAACCAATCGGAATCGAGATAATTACTATTTAGACTCCACTTATATCCTAGGTAATTTCAATAGGTAGAACAGGGTATCAGCGCTTACATAAATTAAGTAACCAACATTAAAACATGTATGCCTTGTCACTTTGCAGGTTGCATTAAAAATGAAGTATCTAGGATTAGTTACCAATACGTAGTACTAGGGAGTTAAACATCCATCCACTGCGGCACAGTATATAATTAAGTTCTTCCTTATGAACTCATATATCGTTTTATGGCATCATATCTTAAAACGTGGGAGATATCGCTGTGCCATCTTATTGCTGATGAACTATACTAGTGCGATTGAAGTACGAGCCGCTTAACTATACCAAAGGTGGTTACAATTACCGCTAAAGATGCTACACCTATGTACTATGTACATATCTGCCTAGGTAGGTACCCGGTACCTGTCTTGTTGATGTTGCAATGCATTAGGTACCTAGGTAGTCAGGCTAATATGCCGCATGCTCGACAAGGATCAAAGCTCCATTATTCTAGAAGTTAAGACTTATGCAAGTGAAGGCAGTGGTGTTTAAGTTAAGACTAATAGCATGCGCCACATAAGCACATAAATATAGACGCCACTTAGACGGTGACCTCGAGCACGTTATACGAGGCTTGTTTGATGTTAGCACTATTCCAGAAGCAAAGTCATCGTGATGAACATCGACCCTTGTATCTACGTATGTAAAGTGACTGAAGAGAAAAGTAAGAAATTAAATCAAACTACATGTGGTACAAACTCTGTAGTTAGCTTATTCCATTTCATATTTTTATGTAATAAGTATCTAGCAAGATGCTAAACTTGATTAACTATAGGTAATGCCCAAACAATGTATGAAATGTGAAATATTGTATTTCAGGTTACACAAGCGGGACCAATCTTATGTATTTCCTGCTTATACTTTTCCTCGGTCTCGGTAAATCCCATTAACCCGAACAAAGAAACTTGAAAAAAGCAATATTGGAGATTTCCGTGTTATATAACATAAATCACTAATTAACAGCCCACACAAATCAGTAGCCTAAAAATATTTAAACTATTACCTTTCAATTTTAATAATTAATAATTTAATTAATTTAAAATATTTTAACTATTTAAAAAAATTAAAATAAACTTAATATTTAACGTTATAAAACATAATAAAAAATTTAATATAAAATATATTATATATATTTATAATATTTTTTATAAAATATTACGCGATAAAATATATAACCGTTAATAATATAAAAATATTATAAAGTTTTAATAAAAATTAATTTAATATAAAAAAAATATTATTATTTAATATATTTTTAAATTAAATATTTAAACGTTTTTTTTTAAATTTTTTTACGTTAAAAAAACAGTTAATATATTATTATAAAAACATAATAAAAAATTTATCGGAAAAAATTAAATTATAAATTTTATATATTAATAACTTAAATTTAAAATATATTTAAATTATTAAATTAATTATTAAAAGATTTTTTATAAAAATTTTAACGTTTATTATATATGGGAACGTTGGTCATGTGACCTAGGTGGGACAAACCCACTTATCTTGTATATATTCCTATATATTTTAATTTAAAATTAAAATATGTATTAAATATCATTAATAATAATTTTATTTATTATATATATAATATTTTTTTATATTGTATATAATATTTTTATTTATTTAATATTAATTAATAATTAATGATAAATTAATTATAAATTAATTAAGTATTTAAAAGGGAAGAGATAATTTACATATTAAATCTTAATAAAAAGAGGCAAATAATCTTAAGATTTTATATTTTTGTGTATAATTTTAAACCTAAAATTTTATAATTTTATATATGATTTTAAAAAATCTTATATTAATTTAGAATTTTTGGATAAAAGAAATAATTTATATGTTAAATTTTAAATTTTAGGTTTACATTTATTACGTATAAATAAGTAATATTAAAATTTTATTTTATTAAATAAATAATTTTAAGGGAATTTATATTAATTAATTTATGCGTTTATTATACGTTTTTATTTACGATATATAAGATATTAGAAAGAAGTAATAATATTATAAATTATGTTATAATTTTATTTTATTAATAAATTTTATATTTTATTTAAAAATTTTTTAATTTTATTTAAAAAGTTTTATTTATTAATATTATTTAAAAGTTTAGTATTTAAGAAAATAATAATATTTGGAAATTATAAAGGTGTATAATAATATTGTTTTTTTTTAAAAATAATTTATAAAAATAAGGTTAGGTAAATTTTTTTTTTATAATATATATTTTAATAATAATATTTTTTTTATTATTTTTTTTATTTATTTTTTTATTATAATAATTAATATTATTATTAATTTTATTTTATTTAGTTTTTTTAAATTGATATATATTTAATATGGTTAAATAGGCGTAAGATTTTTAATAAAAGTATATTAACGATAAAAAATTTAGCGTTAAATTTATAATTGGTAATATAATAAGAGTTTTAGTAGTTTAAATTAAAATATATATAATTGAAAATATATAAGGTTATAATAAAAATATAATTAATAAAATTTTATAGTATATTTTTAAAATTAATTTTAATAGTTAAACCGAAATCTATTTTAATAAAATTAGACGTTTATTTTGTATTAAAGTAAAAAAATATATTATATTTTATAGCGTTTACGTAAAAAAAGTAGTTAATAATTATTAAGTATTAATAAATGTTATTAATATAAAATCATTTTTAGTATATTTTAAAAAAAAAATGTTTAAATTGTTAAAAATTTATTTTTTTAGGTTTAAATTTATAGTTAATTTAATATATATATATTTATTAAAAATTATAATAAAAAATATTATAATTAAGTTAAATTTAATAATAACAATATTATTATTATAGTTATTTTTAATAGTTTAAATTATAAATATTTAAATTATAATTATATAAAATTTTATATTAATATTTATGTAATTGTAAATGGAATAGGTATAATTTAATTTAATGTAATTTATAAATTTTTAACCAATTTTTTAAACATTTTAATAAGTTTAAATATTTTAATAAAAATAAATAATCTATTAATCTTAACTAATCTAAACATTTTTAATAATAATGGATAGTTTTATATAATAAGGTTGATTTATGGGAAATATGGAAACTTTTCCAAAAATAATATAAAAATTTATTAGAAAATTATTTATTTACAAATAAGATAAATAAATAGTAATATATAAATTTTAATTTTTTATTATATTAATTAAATTATATAATAATAATAA